GGTTTGGCTTTTCACTGCAGGGGCGCGATGTGGTGTTGATGGAAATTCAACATTTGGAAGTACATTTATACATATGTCTGGCTCTGACTGAGTGGGCAAATATATTTTTGTTTTTTATCGTTTATATTAAGATAAACTACGTTATTGATTGATTTTACTGTTTTTTCCCCTTAGTGTAGGCAAAATCCAAAGTGTCAGGAAATTAACGCAAGGATTGGAGGTTGGTGCGGACTGAGATTCGTTTGAATTTGTTGCCGCATCCTTGTTACGGCAATTGGTATGTATGTACTTATATGAGACATTCCTTTTTATATCGGACACCAAATTTGGTGTCGCACTTTCGATTGGCTTAAAATTTTTTGTATGTATACATGAAATAAGCTAACACGTGTTCGAGGAATTTTTTTCGCTTTTTTCTTTGGAGATATGATCTGTCAATGTTTGCATTTTTTCGTGATTCTGACTAATCATGTACTCCTTAAAATCGTTATATCTCGGGTTCTTCCCATCCTAGAGATTTCATCTTAGCGTCATTTTAAAGCTTAAGCAAAGGCCTTAATATTTCCATATATAAGATGGTCAAGATTGTCCTAAAGCTAGCTTAGCTATTAACAGTTGAACTTTTTGAAGTAGATTTGCGTAGTGAAGACCTTACTGGGATTTAGAATTATCAAAAAAATTGGGGTTATCAAGAGTTATTTTTAAAATATTTTTCTTTATGACGAGATGGTTTATTTTGTGAGAATCAACAATTTTTTGTAATTTGTTTTCCAAAACTTATGTTGAGATATATTTAGTAAGATGTTAAACATCGAGTTTTTGCAAGAATTAAAATTTTATTGCAGATTCCGATAGAATACCTATCCAGGTATAATATTTGTACGTCAAGATTTTTTTTTAAGGCGAGAAACCCCTAAAAATGGGCGTGGCAATTTTAGGACTAAAGTTCGCAAACGCAGATTTTATTGCGGATTTCGGCAGAACATCGTTTCGTTAACAACTTTTGTTCCCCAACTTTTTCAACCAAAGAATATTCTAGAAATGAGCGTGGCTATATTAAAACCAAAGTACAAAAATTTAGACTTTGTTGTGGATTTCGCCAGAATACCTATATGAATTGAAAAAGTTGTGGAACAAATATTCTTAACGAAGCGATATTCTGCCGAATTCTTCAATAAAATCTGCGTTTTGCTAATTTTAGTCCTGCAATTGCCACGCCCATTTCTTGGGGTTTGTCGCCTTAAAGAAAAATCTTGCCATACAAATATTATATCTGGAGAGGTGTTCTATCTGAATCCGCAATCAAATTTTACTTTTTGCAAAAACCCGATGCACAAAATAAACCATCTTGTCATAAAGAAAAATATTTTAAAAATAGTTCTTGAAAAACCCCCATTTTTTTGGACCACGTTTTTTATAGAGAATTAAACAAGCATTACGATGGTATAATTTTAAATCCTTAATACATATACTGGCCTTCACTATGCAAATCAACTTCAAAATGTTCAACTGTTAATTGCTAAGTTAGCTTTAGGGCAATCTTGACCATCTTATATACAGAAATGTTAAGCCAGTCTCTACGATGGGCAGAACCCGAGTTATAACGATTTGAAGAAGTACATGATTAGTCAGAATCACGAAAAAATGCAAACTTTGACAGATCCTATCTCCGAAGAAAAAAAAAGAAGAAAAAAATTCCTCGAACAGGTGTTAGCTTATTTCATGTATAGAACCCACAAAAAACATGTGAAGCGAATCGGAGACATGACATATTTTTTTACGAAATCCGTCCGACTTAAAAAAGAATGGCTCATATTTATACTCTGTTTTGAAAGTTGGGATGAGAGAGAATTTCTTTTCTCATGAGAAATATTCTCAATATTCTTCTCCCTTAAAAAGTAAAACTTTTACAATCATACTAGTATCGCTCATTTTGTTAGGTACTATAAAAATATTATACTTAATATTATGATTGGGCTGGTTCGATCTGACTTTTTCTAGTACAACAAAATTTTGCAGCCGAACGTTAAAATAGACGCACAAAACAACAGAAACAGTTCTCTCCTTTTTTATGAATAGCCGTCTTAAATCTTTAAGTATTATTAAAATTTTAATTTGTACTTTTTTATGAGAAAAAGATATGCAATCTTTATTATGCCGCTGAATTTTGTAAAATATCAGTAATTTCTTGGCCGAATTCGGGGGAAACATAACAATTACCTGGCGACTCTGGTTTGGGCCTTTACTTGCGTTTACTTCAGTGTCATGAACTGTTCTCGTTATTTTTTATTTTTGTAAATGACATATGCAGTTACAAATTCTTATGTACATACATTGACTCAATCAAACAAGCGTTCATATCATCGTATAGTTCTAATAAGTAACGTAACTTTTCTTCGTATCGTTTTTTTTAATGCGTTTTCATTGCATCTTAAAAACTGACCAAATGTCGACATCGCAGTGCATGTCAAAGACTGTCGTCAAATTTCGGTGGCAGGTGACTGACATTCCGTTTTCTTATATTATCTACTGTGTTAATTTTTCCACCTGGTAACTTTAAAACATTTTATCATGTGGTAACTTTCTTTGTTGTTGGTTCCCATATTAATTAGAGATAACACTTTTGGGCAAAATTATTCGCCTTTGTCTCATGTTTTTGTTTTGTGTTAAACTGGCATCTCTGATCAGCTAATTATTCGCGCTAAGAAAAAATGGAAAGTGAAGCAGAAAAACATAAGGTGGGCGCAATTTGAAAAATTTTTAAATGTATATCTGACCATATTTGTTTTATTGACAATTTGAAACACATGTGTGAAGGCTTGCTCACAGTTCCAGTGTGTTATCTTGTTAAAGTTAACACCTTTTAACTTTAAAAGTAAACTGTGAATACCCTAAAAAAGTCTGGAATATCGACCTTTTAGCTATAGACAAACCAAAACAGTAACTCGATAGAATTCTTCTTGCTGATTTCAACCTTACCAAAATTATTTAGCGCAAGTAAAAAATTAAGAAGATATAAGATGTTAAGTTAAATTTTTCGATATTTTTAAATATTAATATCTTATGAACTACATAACCGATTAAACAACTAATGATATCAAAATAATGATGATTAATTTATTTTCAGCTGATGTACACAATTTATAAGATCTGCTGATATTTTAATTAAGTTTAATTAGAATTAAGTGAAAGAGAGCATTTGGATGAAATCCGACGGCGAAGGACTTTAATAGATAGCTCCAATCCTTTTTCGACCCCCTATAAAGGATATGCACAAATATTTAGTCATTCTATTTATGACCTTTAACCACATAATTCATGTAAGCTCCGTTCACCGATTTAGTTTGTCCCGGGAAACCGATCAACTTATATTCCGCCGATTTTACGACTATGTGCTACTTTGGAGGTCCTTGGAAGTACGCTATACCAGGAGGTGAACTATATGGTTTTGGTTATAACTACAATATTTTTATTAAAAAATATCAAAAAATTGTACTTGAAAAACATTGCGAATATTTAAAAACAAATCAATATATGAACGGTTGTTTGAGTCTCTGTATGTACTTATGTACAGGGTGTCTTAGACCGAAAAAAATCTATCAAAAACAGCTTTAACATTTGCCGTACCCAAATTTTTTTATATTTTTGTTGGGCTGTGTTATCCATTAAAAAATGAGCAAAAATTCAGATTTCCGTTTTTCTACAGAAATTTTTCCTTTTGTTTGCAAAATAAATCAATGAATATCATCGTGCGTGTGGAGAAGCCTGCGCCTTATTTTGCAACTTTGTCCTACAAAGCAAGACTCCCCCCAGAAAGATTCATTTGGTCATAAAAACGTGACCTGCGAAAAATATTTAGAATCGGATAACGGAAAGACGTGCGTCAAAGGCCCCGTAAGTTCAGCAAATTCATGGAATTTTTCTCGAAGCGGTCAATATTTTGCTTATAAGTCAATGGGAAATTTAATATATTTTAATGGAACTTGATGGAGTTTTGTCCCCCGATAAGGGTTTTTTATGAGGAAATTTTTACCACTTTATAAAAAAATGCATGAAAATGCTGAACTTTAGAGCCTTTCGAGGCACGTCTTTCCGTTGGCAGGGCACGTTTTTATGACCAAAGGTAGGTTAACAAAAAAATTTCTCCATACACCTAAGGCGCAGGCTAATGTGCAGGCATGGGTAGGGAACGGGAACACAATGGGCTAGCTTTTCTCAATTTTCATCGCAATCTGGATGTTGATGTTGACTCATTGTTAAAAGAAGTTTTATCTATACCTCGGTAAATTGCATGTGCCCTTTCTTTGGGTTTTTCTAAATTATATCCACAATTAAATACAGTATGCTGAATACCTACTCTAAATAAAAAAAATGATATTCTTGGTTTTTACGAATGACTTTATATAAAACCCCCGAAAGAGAAATACTGCGTCCGGTCCTGACGCCTTCTAAAATGGAGGAAAGTGTTGTTTATTGGAAAGCGCAAATATAGACTACAATGTTGGGAACGCTCTATCTGGACATCTAAAATGGACAAAATTTTTTTTATTGGCAAACGGGTTCGACCGGGGGTGGGGCAAACAGAACTGAGCATCTAAGTATGGTTGCATGTTTATGGACTCATTTCTTGCGGCGAAAAAAATTTTATGCGTGTGTGTATATATATATAGGTATGTATGTACATAAGCTGCCATTATGTTGTAAAAAAAACTTGATAGAAGTAAGTATGTATGCATTAAAAAGATTGCAATAAATTAAATTAATATTTCAACAAGTATATTATGGGCGGTTTGTTCAATGTCCGGTTAAAATAAATCGGAGGTAAAATCTCCGGTTAAATACGATGACTGCGTTATCGATCACATGTCGGAAACGTCGATAATGATGTATAACTGGGAGGTAGTGATAATCAGACATTGAACAACCGGACCTATATACATAGGTTGTTCGAAATATATTTAAATATGGAATATATAAACGTGTAAACTTTTACTACTTACAAGTTCCGACACAAGAGGTATGGATTTCCGGCGTGGTCTAATATCTGGCATACTGTCGATATTACTATAGAATGGATTATCCCCAGGATGTCCACCGCCACGTATACCAATATCTCCAGATCCACTGCCATTCTGTACGGAAAATGAAAATATATTAATAAATGTAAGTAAGTTATGTGTCCCATAATCATGCATAAGTACCAGCTTGACCGAGCTTTGCCCGGAATGCATATACTTTTTAAAGTTTTAAAGATTTGGATAGCTTTAAAAAAATATTTTGGAAATAAAAACAAAAATTTGATTTCGATATCTTACTCCAAAATTTAGGTGGCTACCATATTCCGAAATACGCTGAAAGGAATGGTACATGTCCTGAGCGTGTATGTACTGTGTGTACATAAAAAAACATGCCGATTGAAATAAACAAAATAAATATTTGTATTACATAGAAGCGTAGCAACCCTGACAGAAAATATTTTCTGGCCAAAGTTCTCAACAATACGAAAGGATTTGATATCCATGTTGCAACGTTTTAGATGTATTATGTAGAATCGAAAATAAGTGGCAACCTTACACTATTATCCTAAGGGACAACATATTGTATATATGGAAAGCATGTTTAAGAACCTTTTCTCGGTACCCATGAATAGTAATATTTTACCCTTTTTCTAAACAAAAAATTAAATAAATATGCGGTTCAAAATAGGTAGCAACCCTATTAAAAATATTTTTGAATTAGGGATCTTTAAAACTGTTTATCTGTGTTCGTATGGATTAGTAGCTTATGTCGGGAAGCTGGCGTTAGTATAATGCGGCATTCCCTTTATTCTTTAAACGACAGGGAATCTTTTGACGAGACTTAATAAAAATATTGATTTGCTAGTATCGGAACTATTTCTTGCACGTTTATTTTCAAAAACTTCTTCAACGGCTCGGCTCAGTGAGTCATACGCAATCGTATGCTGCGGATGCCGCATTATACTAAAGTCAGCCTTTGGACATAAGCTACTATTCCATACGAGCACAGATATATACAAGAATTGCTCGTTTAATGTAATAAGATTATATGAGTTATCTGCATATATACATATGTATGCGCATAAAGAAAGGTAATTCAGGATATTTGTAGGTAATGTTTTTCGGTGGTCTCATAAGGATTTATAAACAATACATACATAATCACCTCTAATACGAATAATCTCTATAAAGATGGAACCCGGATTAGTCTCCATAGGTACAATTGTGCATTTATTATTCTAGACTGATCCCAAAGAATGAGATTGGAGATTAATTAGTTCTTGACTGATCGCTTGTATTACTTACTCTAAAACTGTTATAGATTGTAAAGAGGCAATTAGGTGAGGCATGTCACAAGGCGTTCACTTATATTCAGTGTTGCCAGAACTTTTTGGGGTGACCGGCTAGATTGGACAAGAAAACGGCTAAAAACGGCTAAAATGTTTCAACTAGAATTAACTTTTTTTTTAATACATAAATTACAATTAGAAAGATTAGTAAATCCGTTAAATTTTTTTTGGTTAACAAAGATTATTCCTAGCTAAGCTGTACACCACTTTATTTTTGTTTAACAAAGGAAATGGTCATGTTTGTATTACTTAAATATAAAAACAGAGATAAATTACAAACTTATGGCATTTTCTTTTCTATTAAACAATTTTACCTTCTTATAAATATTGTAACATTTGCAGTAGGTTGCTTTTTGTCCCGCAAAATGAGTATATTAGCAAAAAGTATGGCACTTTTGCTTAGGCGGAGGGCAATATATTGAGAAATGAACACGTAAAGTCGTGAAAGGCCTGAGGAAAACAGAGCAACATTATTTCGAGAAAAGACGCCATGATATATTAACATTCGTTGTTGTTGCCGAACTTTTAACAAGTTTATGACATTTAACTAAAATCATGCCACCAGATTCACTAGAAGACAAAATTTTGATTCTTGTAAAAGTAAAAAAAAATAAGTTAGTGAAGTTGGATGAAAATGTTAAAAGTGTTGCGCGTTTCCAAACTGTCAGAATTCGGTTCACCTGAGTAAAGATTCGAAAATAAAGTTCTTTGCTTTTCCGAGGATAGGGTACGTAATACGTGCAGTTCGACGACAAATTGCTGACGCAAAATATTTTTTAACCTCTAAAAGATGTACCGTTATCCATGGAACAGGAAGGAGGTCGAGTTAAAATGATGGCCTGCAACTTGTAACAGTACCAATTTTTGGATTCTCGGAATTTTCTGATAAAGATGTGGTGCTGCTAAGAAATATTTATACATAAATATAAGCACGAAACTATGTATTTGTGACAAGAATTATCCCCATAAGATGAAAACTATTGCAGTTTCATTTTATAAAATTTTTGTTTATAGAAAAATGCATAAGTAAGACAGTTTGGGTACGGTTCGGTTATTTGTACAATGATTTTGGGTTATCTACGTTGAGTTGGACTGATGAGGTTATTTCTTCTAGGGCGGCTGAAGGCCACCAACTCGGAAATAACAATGATAACAAAAATAAAGTATATTTGCACCATGACGCAATTCTTCACAGGTATTGTCAACCCAGAGAGTTTTGCTCCACATCGAAATGTCTGCTCTTTTATATTCTAAGTGTTGCGCGTAAAACTTCACACTTAAATTTAAGACATTCTTAACAAAAATTGAAGCAAGTTTCGCCTATTTTTCTTTATTTTATTTAATGTTTATTATTTTTTACGAATATGTAGCTCATTACTTAACAAAAACCATATACTACATCCAGATTTTAGACTTTGTGTAAAAATTATGAAAACTCTTCAAAATTTCAGCAAAATTTTTAACTTTCTAATCAGCTAAAATGGCAGTTTATATGTAATTGGGTCACTCGCTTAAAACAAAAAAAACATTGAAATCGGCTCACTATCTGCAGACTTTTCGGGTTAGAAAAAATTTTAGGCATTTCTAATAGATTTTGGATCACTAAATTTGTAAAAATAAAAACTTGTATATTTTAATTTTAATAAAATAAGGCGAATAGCAAATAGCAAAATCGGCTAAAACCGGCTATTTTTTTGCAAAACGGCTAACAAGTCGGCTGCCGACTAAACCGAATTTTCTCCGGCTGTTTGCTATCGTAACCGGCTAAATCTAGCCGGAAAACGGCAAAAATGGCAACACTGCTTATATTGGGTACCAGGACGCAAAGGTGATAAAGGTAACTAGCTAGGGATGGGCGTGTCAATTCTCCTTCAGTAAATCAAAGGTTCACACGATATTCTCATGGATTGCCTGTCAGACAGGGTGTGGAAACTTACCCAGTATTGCATGATGTGTAGATTGAACGATAGAAGAAATGCGGATTTCCTGTTATCGATACGGAGGTTAATATGGTCTGCCAGTTGCATCTTTTACATTTTATTTTTGCTGCATAGCAACCGTTTGCATTTTATTGTAGTGAATTTGCAAATACATCGAAATATGCAAATACTAGACCATATGCACCGGAATGTGGATACCCTGAATAAGAACAACAAAATCAAGACTGCTAAAGGGGCAATGCCTGCTATACATACGGTGACCATCCGTCCTGTATTATACGGGACAGTCCTCTTTTTTTACCCATTGTCCTGTTAATTTATTTATTTTATACGGGACGCTAAATGTTCCGTATTTCTTTTAATGTCCCGTATTTGGTATTTCGCCCACTTAAGAGCTCATTAAAATGGCATGTCTATGAACGAGTTTTAAGTGATGTTGGTATGTGATCGTAATTTTCTCCATAAACAGTTATTATTTTCTAATCTGAATGCCTGTGATTCGAATCGAGGATAACATACAGTGACTAAAATAAAAATTAGCACTCGACATTTTAGTAAGTTTTGGGTATTTCCCTTAGCTTATTTAAAATTTATTATTTATGAAAGTAAAGCTCTTTTCCTAACAAAAATCATATAATATCAAATTACCAACTTTGTGCCAAAAAACTATAAAAATTAATTCTGCAATATTTCACTTACTCTGTACGAAAAAATACGCAACACCGTCAACAAAAACAAAAATTGCCAAAAACTAATGGCAAGCCTTAGCGACTTAATATTGCGCTTTATTATACTAAAATTTAACGAATTTTTTAAACAAATTTTTCGGGGTAAAAATCTCGAGAAAATTATCCTACAAATTTTTGATTTTACTAAAAGGATACTGTTTCAGGGCTAATACATCTAGGTTCATTGAAGGAGGCTTTCAGATCTGTAAGCTGTGGTGGAAAGAATTTGCAAAATTATTTTTGTCCCGTATTCGGCTCTCATAAATATGGTCACCGTAGCTATACAACAGCATGACCATGGGCAAAAATTAAAAAAAAAAATTAGTTTTGAATATGAATAAATTAGTGTCATAGGAAATAAAATTTATTCAGTAACAAAATTTCGCTGATATTTTTCCAATAATGCTAATTATGCGCCGTCAGCGAGGGGCTAAATTCTTTCTAATATCTTGACACGAAAATAAGTGTCAACAAGTAATTTTTAGCAAAAAAACTATATCTATATATATTTCATGATCCAATGATCGGATCTGAACCATTATTTAGTATGGGACCACCTCTGAGACACTACCTTTCCGAGGCAAAAAGAATTATCAAAATCGGTTGACGTGGCCCAAAGTTATGCGGTAACATGAATCACGTATGATGGCAATCGCCTGGACCCATATCGTGTTGAGATGGTCTTGCTTCATGAAAAAAAAAATTGTTTGTGCGATATAGTCAACTCGATTTAAATTTTGCTTCACGTAACAGTAACACATAAAAAATACATAAATCAGTGTTTTGACGACATCTTTTGTCAGTATCGTTTGAACGACTATAGTTTCAAACTTACGAGATTCATGCCCTGGCATTTCTAGAAGACCATATAATATTAATATACATGGGCGTAGCCAGGTAGTAACAGGAAATGCTAGCTCGATAATTTGGAACCCTACCCCTAACTTTCAAGATTATTCCTATGTATATACTATATATAACATCATACACTCAATGCTAACAAAATAACTTGTAAATTTTAATAATTAAAAAAGTGAATATGTGGATCATCCGGTTCTGTTTCAAGTTATTCTCGCTAACTTCAGAGTAATGCCATT